TCAGTAAATGGTCAACGTGATCTAAAATATGATATATGATAACAATTTATTAGAAGACAAAAATGTAAACAATCCTTATTACACAATTTTTATCTTCCCATGTTAATCAGTGTCTTAACACCTTTTCTATATGATAGATTTTATATATGTATACTTGTTTACTATAAATTTACATTTACATACTTGTATAATTATAAATGTCAGAGGGTGTGTGTTCTGATGGCTTGAACAATCACAAACTCCTCCCTAGCAAAAAACAAACAAGATTCTCTATGATAAGGAGAGCCTGACAAAATTTTATTTACAAAATATCAGTCTACATTTGGGTGCATAGGAAAGTACCTATGTTTAAAGAGAAAAAGTAAATTAAAAGCTTACAGAATCAGTCCAGTAAGCTAAGTAAAGTATGTAACCACTAATTATATGCAAAATAAACTAAGACAGATAGATAAATAGATAGGTAAGTAGAAAGACAGACAGACCGACAGATAGATAAACACAAGACTTGGGAACTAAGGAGTTCTTTTGGCTAAAGCCCAATATTGGCCTTATTTCAGTTTAATTGGAAGAGGATCTCAAATTCATCTTCTCCATGAGATATCAGGAACCTGGATTTCTCTTTGTACCAAAGGTTAATAAGAAATGTGTCTGCAAAAGTCAAACAGCATTAAATACCAAAAACTGATTATTATTCTACGGGAGTTGTTCTGTCATTCATAATCTCTCCATGCTCCAACCTTCCACAGCTAATCTTTAATGGATGACATGCAAGAAAGAAAAATAACTAACATATAAAGCAGAGAATCTACAGTGAGCATTTAAGAGAAAAAATGCTTTCAAAGAAATATAAATGCTTTAAATATTATAAAACTAACATTAAAAACTATTTAATGATTCTTCTACATAAAATGTAATCATCTGCATACCGTAAATGCAATAAAGTGGCAAAAATTAGAAGATATTGAACACTAGACAATGCCCACGGAGACTCTTAAAGGAAAAAGGTATTATTGAACAAGTTGGTATTTTTTAAGTTATAACATCACTGACCTAAAATTAAATAAACAGAATCTGATCAATCATATATTATTATTTCTCCCAGTCAAGTTCAATTAAGTAAAACAAATTTTAAGTGTTTATGGTTTTACTTTGATAAGATATATTATCTAAAGGACAAAGAATCAATGTTTCTGCTGTGATTCTTTAAAATATTCCATAGCATTTGAAGGTAATATGTCCCAACTATTTTAACATAATATTATCCACATTTATGAGTTAAAACACAGAAAAAAGTCCTAAACAGATACTATGATATTTTTTCAAATATTAACTTACATTTTTTTCTTATTTTCTTTTCAGTAGAGTTTAAAAATAATTTTTATATTTTCAAATCTTTGTCAAAATCAAGGTAAACTAAAAAGTATAGGATGAAATGAAATAAATATACTATGTACACTAAATGAAACAATATAGATTAAAAAATAAAATACTGGGCCTCCCTGGTGGTGCAGTGGTTGAGCACTGGGTTGTAAAGCTGCCCGCAGTCTCTGCTCTGCAGCACCAGTTCGATCCCTGGCCGCCAGGTGAGGGTCCCACATGGCGCGCAGACCTCTTCTGCCACCCGCTGCTCCCCTCAGCAGTGTACTTTGTCAGTCTTCCTGCTCTGCTCTCCCCTCTGACTCTGGTGAATTCTCTCACTCTCCCGCACTTCTAACTGTACCCAGTGCTTGTATAAATAAATTAATTAATTAAAAATAAATAAATAAATAAATAAAATAAACTATAAAAACTATTTTTTTTAAATCAATACTTTGTGAGAAAAAAAGCATATATAAATAGTCATGGGGTAGTTATTTATATTAGGTACATTTAATTATGCCCGCTAGAATATCAGGAAGTCTGGAGAAAAGATGATGATGATATCATCATCTTATCATCATAATGACCATTATTGAGTGCCTTCTATAGGTTAAGAAGCTAGTTAACATAGTTCCTATAAAGTATCTAATAAAAAATTATCAATGGTGGTGGTGATAATGATAAAGAGGTTCAACCATTTGAGATGTCATCATACCAGAGGACATAACAACTTCAACTCTGAGATCACATTAGAATGACAGTATATATGTCATGTGAAGATAAATAGGAAGCAAAAGAAATGGCCTGAAGTTTGATAACAGTCTACATGAAGGTTTATCATAGGTATACATTAAAATAAAGTCCAAACTATGCTATTTCTTTTATTTGAGACTCATGTTTAAGTAAAATATATTAGTGGTATTCATAAATTATATATTTATTTATATGTATAAAGATAATATTAACACTAATTTTCTTCATTATATAATGTTGTTTCCAATTTTTTTATTTCTGTTTATTTCCCTTGTAAAATCTATTAACAGTGAATCACTAATTTTAACTAAGTGCTAAACAGAACAAGTTTTTTCATGACTTCTGACCCTACCAAAGGTTTAAGAATTTTCATAAAAATAATCAAATACTAGCTACAACTTATTGAGAGCCAGTTAGCTATGAGCCAGTTAGGTTATTTTAATCCTTAAAATAACCTGGTACATTACTTAATATTGACAACTTACATGAGAGACAGCCTGGAGAAGCCCATAACCTGTCCAAAGACCCACAGTCAGTAAGGAGTGTCAAAGCCATGATTTCAACCTGTTTCAATCTGATTCCAGTGCTTTTGGTCTTCCTGATGCTTCCATCTGCTCACTTAGAGAATTGGACCCCTTTAGTTTAATGTGGTTTTGACTACATATCACATAAGATTTATTTTTATTTATTGATTATATTTTGATTTCTTAAACATTTATATTTTGCTTACATAACTTATAATATTAAATGTGTGCATATTTATAGTATATTTTACCAAATACACTTTTTATTTTGCATGCAAAAATAAGCAGTGATAGAAACTACATCCATGTGCATGTGGATTATTTGTTCTTTCATGACATCAAATAAAACATTTACCACATATAACTGTAGTCCAATAATGTTCTTGTTTCCATAAAGGTACTGACATTGTTTTTGTTATTATGTTTTTCTTTTTGATTGTATTTACTACTGACCAAGTAGAAGACAAGCTGTTTAAGACTGCACAGATTATGAGAAAATAGGAAAAAGTTCAGAGTCTACCAATGGTCAGCTAACAAATTTCTTATAGTTCAAAATCAATAGATTTCTTAAGAAATTAAGGTTGCTAATAAAAAAGTAACATATTATGATAATTGCCTCTAAAGTTAAAGTAAATTAGCTTATTACTTTCTGTAATAAGATAGAATTGAAAGATTAAAAGTAAAAACACACTTTAAAAATTTACACCTTAAAAATTTTAGGGTGTTTTCATTTTGTGTCATTTTTATAACTAAGTGATTGTACATTATCTCTTTTAACTGTATTGTTTATTTCAGAGAAACAACACTGTTATTTTCATCAATTTAGGACTACAAAAGCATACTAAACATCCATCTTTCAATTATTTAATATTTAGTAAAATAGTGTCTCACCATTAATGAGAAATTTTGATTAAAAATTTATAAAAGAATGAAATTCTTTCCATTTCATGCAGGCATGATTTATACTGATTAGTCAAAGGGAACAACCCTTGAATATATACCAATAAATAAATGTTTGAAGTCTATGATCAGTTGTATTATACAAAATTTAAGGAGTAAACTTTTTTGTTTAGTAAGTTCTCCCCTTTTAAAAGATAAATGAGTTATGCAGACCTATCAATTCATGATTTTCAGTAGGTCAAAATGGCCTAAATCTTATTAATTCACTTCTGTAACACACATGCTAGGTTAAAGTATGATACAAACACCTTAAGACAAATGCACTCCTTATAATACCAATTTAACAATTAGTATATATTTCTGACTATAACGCCAAGAAACTTCAAAATTGTTCTAAATTTATATTTGAATTATTCATTCCTAACAGACTCTTAGCTAGCTTAAAATATATCACTGTTATGTATTCCCACTAAAAAAGAAATATTTTGGCTATATTTTCACAGTGATGTTTACTTCTTCTTTGTACATGTTAATGATGTCTCTGACCTGAAATATTAGAATTATTTTATTAATGCAATGAGGTTAACTGGCTTATAAGTAGATTATAACTTCAAACTAATCACAAAATACAATTATTTCTTAAAATCATTCCTACTGACAGAAAAAATTTTTAAATTAGTTCTAAAATGACTCTAAATGTTAATTTCAATTACTCTATGAACTTTGTGCTTCCTTCAATATAATAAACAGTGTGAAGAAGAGAGTCACTCTGGAGCCCTCATAGATTGCTGTGACTCAATTTGATCATACCTGCAGCAATTCATTGACATATTAAAAATATCTCCTTGCAGAGACTGAGTAAAGACAGACTCCAAAATATATTTAAGCCAGTCAATTATAATCTTAAACTTTGGCAACCTTTTCCTTTAATATTCTCAGAGAATACATTACCTCCACCATCATTCACATCATCAGATGAAAATTTATTAATTGCACAAAACAGATATTTGAATCAAATGTAGGTTTCCACTGGCAATGAATATATGACTATTTTCATACAAAGGAGAGATATTTCCTCTCAATAAGCTAAAACAATAAGTGGTATTTGAACTGCTGGTTGAAAGGTAGAGGCACTGGTAATCATTATTTCCCCTTGTTTGTTCAGGCCCTTCCAACAAAACAAACAACCTTTTTGTGATTGGATTGACATGGTGTTAACAATGCATTTAATGCCCAAATCAGTATGAATACAGGTAAAGCTCTCACTAATACCAGTACCAGGATGTTAAAGCCACCTATTTTCTAAGAAGCCAAAAAAAAAAAAAAAAAAAAAAAACCCACAAATCAGAGCCTTCCCCTCCTTTAGCAAATAAGCTAGTATGCTAGCATTCATCAAGCCACATCATAATAAAATAACCTTGTATGAGAGTCTTAATGCCATATGTTAATGCTCATCTACTATACCTGCTGTCTTTTCAGCAATTTGAGCTTCAGTTGCTTTCTCTTGGAGCTCCAGCTGAAGCGTTAGTTTTCTCTTTTCTTTATCTACTTTAGTCAGTTTTTCTTGAAGCTAAATAGATAGGGAACAAACATAGATTGTTATCTGACAAATTTCTTACACAAATATAATTAATCCCAAAGTAAATTTTCTTCTAAATCCCTATGTAATATTACATTTAGTTGCCTAAATACATAATTCCAGGGAGAAAAAAATTAAGATCTTAAGATATTTAACAAAGCAACAATTACCTATAATAATATAAAAATCATAAAAGCAATTTAATATACACACTTTATGTGTGTGTATAGACAGATGAAATTAGAGTGGGGATAACATTATTACTAAAAACAACTACTGTAAAAATCAGTCTGATCCATTCTTTTGTCTTAAAGTAAAAGACTTGGAAGGGATTATCCTACTAAAATAAATGGACAATACAGCTTTATAGCTTTTCCTAGTAATTCTAATATATTGAAACAAAATTAAGAATATCTGATATATATATATATATATATATATATATATATATATATATATATCCCCCTTTGAGAATGCTATCCATCATATTCTACTTAAATTGGCACTGGCACCTGATTCTTAACTGGCATATAATAAATAACTCAAATGAAAGTACAGAAAATATCCCATGCTCTCACACAAAATCCTCCAAATGTTTTATTTTTTATTTCCATCTGATATGATCAACATTCCTAACATCACACTTCATTTTGATTAGGTCAAACAACTAGAATATTAAAATCAGAGAAGTACGTAGAGTTAACCAAAAAAAGAAAGGAATGGAAAATGAATGTTATTTAATCACATTATTTAATGCTCAAAGAAATGTAACTAAGAAGAGTCAGAAAAAATAAAACATGATATAACAAACTGAATAGGACAAAATGCAGCAATACAAAATAACACAGGTAAATGACAACATTACCAACCCTTGCTACTTTAAAGTTGAATTACATATATTATTGAGGTGGAATATAGGACCTTACTTTTTAATAAAAAAAAAGTTAAGAAAGTAACATGAAACCAGTGCATTATATTTCTCATTGCCCATAAAAATGAAATAAAGATTTACTACAGTAAAACCTGAGTAAGTATTCTGGTACCTATGCAAGCTACCTCGTATTTATGAAAAAGGAAGTGACATCACAGGTTAGAAAGGCAGGACATCTAAAAAAGTGTTTTGCATAGTCAGTCCCTTAACTCAATCAAACCCTGATAGCATGGTAAGACAAAACAGGAAATTACTGTTAAAGAATTATAGCATACAATCAAACTGAATTATGATGGGTGACAAAGCAATTTAGAGGGTCAACATTTAAAAGCATATTGTACAATTATTACACTTTCTATATTGTACCTTTTTGTTGCTTGCTTTGAGAATTTCCAATTCTTTCATAAGAAATGTTATTGTCTTCTCTTTATTTATGTCTGGAGTAACTTGAAAAGGAGTCATATATTCATAATGCAAATCATTATTTCTATGTTCAATAATGCTGTAATAAAGAAAACTATTAATCAGTATATATATGATTTCTACTACACAGGACTTATAACTTTTATACCTCAAATGGGGGAAAATTTTTAATTTTAATAATGTGTAAGTTTATAATTTTTAATTTATCCTATTATGCACTGTTAAGAAAATACTATGGATGAAAAAGAGTAAACATATTAATTTCACAAGGTGCTAATCTATCAACTAAGAGTTACATGTGTGGAATGCATTCAAAGTCTATAGCGATTCATGGATCAAGTTGTTTTTTTTCCTTAAGATTTATTTATTTATGCATACAAGAACTGGGCTACATGCCAGAGGTGGGAGGTGGAGGTAGAGGGTTGAGAGTATTCACCAGAGACAGAGTGAGGAACAGAACAGGCAGACAGACTGAAATACACTGCTGAGGGGAGCAGTGGGCGAGTCAGGAGAGATCTGCTGCGCCAGGTGGGTATCTCCCTGACTGGGGATTGAACTCATGCTGCAGTGGTTGCGTATATATGTTGCATCTTAACCCCCTGTGCCACCAGGGAGGCCCTCATGAATCAAGTTTTAAGGGACTATGAATATGAATTCAATTTGTACTTTTAGTCAAACCTGCAGATATATTTCTCACTTTTCTGAAAATGGAAACAATAATCACAATTCTTTCTCAATCTGGTTGATAGAACATATTTTCATTATTAAGTTCAAAATGTATTAAACATGATAATCTATTCCTGTAACACTGAAGGGAAAACAAAGACTCTGTTCATGTTTTGTATATGTGGGTATAAAATGCTTATCACCTCCTTATTCATTCATACACCTCTCCTCCAAAAATGTACTCCACTTTGTTCTTTGGTAAAAATATAACTGATTACTAAGAAGTAGGAACATATTAATATATCTATTTTACTATATATTAATATTCATTACATATCTACTGATTAATTTTGAAGTAAATAGAAATAGTTGTGTTTATACAAAACTCTTAAAATTGCATTCATTGGACTTTGTTTGGACTGAAAATATAATTGTATCAGTCATTTGGATTTTTTTTAAATTAGCAGTATTTTCATTCTATGTAACAAATTATCAAAGTGCCTTAATCCCATAAGTTAAAGTCAGGGTAACACAAATTCAAACCCCTTTATGGGATAGGTAAGTAAACTAAACATATAAAAGCTGCAGAATGTAAAATAATAAGGAAGGTAAATAGGAGAGTATAAGGCCCTTCTAAACGTATTCTAATTCATTTAAAGAAAAAAATAATGGCACCAAAACCAAAACACATCTATGGACTTAATTTGTCCTGGAGTTCCCAGTCTTGGGTGCTGATGAATAATATCCCATTTAACAAAATGGTTTCACTTATATGTGTACTATAGAGAAACAAAACAAAACAAAGGGTGAGACAAAACCAAACCAAACCTTTGACATCTGACCGCAAAACTGAGGCAACCAGAGAGGAGAGTGACGGGTGGGAGCTGGGGAGGGAGGGGGCCCAGTGGAGCATGGCGGAAGATTATTGGAACACTGGTGGTGGACATAGTGTGCAAATATACATTTGTAACAGTTTGAACCTATAACCCCTAAAACAAATACAATGATGAAAACCTTCTTTACCTCAATAAACATAATTGGAAAAAAAATAAGAATAATGTTTTAAAAAGTATAGAAGAGTGGGGCCTCCCCGGTGGCGCAGCGGTTGAGCGCTGGGTTGCGAAGCTGCCCGCGGCCTCTGCGGCGCCGGTTCGATCCCCGGCTGCTCCCCGGCCACCAGAGGAGGGTCCCACATGGCGAGCAGACCTCTCCTGCCGCCCGCTGCTCCCCTCAGCAGTGTGCTTCGGTCCTTCTGCCTGCTCTGCTCCCCGCTCTGGCTCTGGTGAATTCTCTCACCCTCCCGTGCTTCTGACTGTACCCAGTGCATGTATAAATGAAAACAAACAAACAAATAAATAATAAATAAATAAAAACATGCCTCTATAAAAAAAAAAAAAAAAAGTATAGAAGAGTACTTTCAATAAAATATAAGTTCTTATGAGAAAAAAAAATATCATTATATCAACTGTTATTTCCAAATCCATAATGAAAGGTCACAGAAACAGTCAACAAATAGGAGTAAAATCCCATGGTCTTCAAACACAGATTGTGCTTTTTCATTTTAAAATTTAGACACATTAATAATATCAATGCAATGGAAACAGCAAAGAACGTAGGTAGATTCCTCAAACCCTAATAAATTAATGACAGTTCAAATTTGGCCAACATCAAAAAGAAGTACTGAGGACAGAGGAGGAGATGAAGGGAGGGAGAAGGAATTCTCCTAAATCTTACATAGGAAGTCTGAGGCTGTCAGCACTCACTTGGAGTTTTCAGTAGTGCAGTGAGCTGTCCCATCACCTGGATAAGGGTTGATGACCTGGAAATTCCTTGAACTCTGCTCTGGCAGTTCTGTGTCCTCATATTTGGCTTCATCAACTAATTTACTGCATTTGTGATTCATGCTTCCCTTAGAATTCACTGTCAGTTGCTCAACTGGCTGTGTACTTGTATTTCTCCCTGTAGACTCTTGTTCAAGAAAAGTAGGGGCTATGTCTGTAATTAAAACAAAAAAAATTTTTTGATATATGAAACATGATAGCTACACATTAAGTCAATCAAGTGAATATTATTGTGGCCCAAGTTTTCTTATTGCATTAAGCCTGTACTTACCAGTCTTATTTCTACTGTAAGTTCATAAGCATATATAGAGTGGTTTTGCTATTAATATTTCCATTTCCACAGTCAGTAGGCATTTAGGACAGTGGTTTACAACCCTGGCTACTCATTAGCTGAGATTCTATATATCCTAAAATCCAGACCATACCTCATACTAATTAAACCAAAATCTACTGGAGTGAGTAGATGATACCAACACACAGTCAAGGATAGGAAGCAGTGAGAGTATTTTGTTTTTTTAGATTCTGAAAAATAGGATATAAAAAATTAACTCATTATAATGAAAGTGATGATAGACATGAACTCTGGTATCAGACTGCCTTGCTTAGAATTCCACTTTGTCAAGTGCATAACTTTAGGTAAGTCATTTAACCATTTCATGCCTCAGCTCCTTGTTTGTAAAATGAGAAGATAAAAAGAGTTGTTGTGTGAGAATTAACTGAATTAATAAATGCAAAACACACTGGCCTTGTGTATGGCACATAAATGTAGCTACCATTTTGTAATCATCCCCATATTATTAAACCAGACACAATATAAGAATTATTTTTATAATTTCCATTCTATCAAATATTATACATTAGGGAATCTATTTTTGATGCCTGATATCGTATAGAAACTGTTTTAAGTTATAACTAGTAAATAGCAACTATTTCAAAGGCAGTGTCTTCTTGACATTAAGAGTGAAATTTGGGGGAGAAAATGACAGACACAACTACAAAAAAATAAACTTTTACTGGCAAATCAGAGCAATAAACACACATATTGGTATAATTAGTACTTAATTATTTCCAGAAGAAATAATTCTTGAGCTTTCAGAAGCAGATTAATCTCATCTGCTTGCTGATATGATTTCTCCAGCCTCCCAAACCAAAAAATCCTTTTGAAGCAGAAGGTAGTATTTAAAATAAAAACAAAATGGGGCACTTGTAAATAAGATACCTCTGAAAGGATTCATTCATTAAGGAGAAATTTTTGCTTGAACATATGCTAAAATTAAGCACAGTCTGTTATAAACTCTTGACCTACATATCAAAGGTATTAGACATCTTAATGGTGACTGAAAGCTAGACCAAAACCACGTTTTTTTTAATGTTACTCTCAATTTCACTTAGAAGGAGTGAATTGGGAGAATGTGCTATCATAATTACATGTTGGGAGATATATGAAATTTCAATATTCTGTAATGTTTTTACTTAAATTTTAATAATTTCAGGTATCTGAATATTATTTGTTGCTTGACCCTTCAAAATATTTACTACAAAACACTGGCTTCCTTAGGAAGTTCATCATGCTTCTTTTCTAGAATGGATTGGTATTATTAAGAATGGAACCCAAGAATTCTAAATGTGGGGATTTTACAAATGAATATTAATAGATACACTAAATCACTAATAAATCATTGCTTTCTAATGCCAACATAACTTGTAAAAGGAAAGAAAATTATATGTAGTAAAAATAATATCAAAATAACAATGTCACTAGGAACATAGCAAAGAACTATTAGGATCTACAATATCTGCTTACTACATCTATATCTCTTCCACTGACAACTACCTACTGTCAAATTGTGTGATCCCTTCGCCTCTTGGTGAATCACTGCCCTTTCACCTCTAACTGTGCTACATCTCCAAACTCAAAGCATATGTGGGAATTTCCCATTAGGAGGACTCTGTTGGGCCTCCCTAGTGGCGCAACAGGTTGAGTGCCACACTGTGAAGCTGTCCTCAGACTCTGCAGTGCGGGTTCAATCCTCAGCCGGCCAGGGAGATACCCACATGGCATGGCAGACCTCTCCTGCCTCACCCGCTGCTCCCCTCACCAGTGTATTTCGTCAGTCTGCCTGTTCTGCTCCCCGCTCTGTCTCTGGTGAATTCTCTCACCCTCCTGTAACTCTGACCTGTACCCCAGTTCTTGTATAAATAAATCTTTAAAAAAAAAAAAAGAGGAGGACTCTGTTGATCCCTCCTGTATCTTAGTAATAATAACCCCTTATGGTATTAACACAAACTCATCAAACTCTAACACACATTTTAATTCTATAATCTTATTTTATTAACACTAATTTAAAAATCTGTATTACCTTATTATTATTATTTTAAGGTAATGATTTACAACACTATGTTTTAGGGATACAGGTCCATACAGCTACAAATTTTTGTTACTACACTATATCATCAACAAAGTCCCAAAAATCCTCCACCATAATCTACTGGATTCCCGCCCAGCCTGCTCCTGCCCTCCCACACCTCCTCCTCTGTGAGACTAAGTTATGCTCAGCATTTAAAATTTCTGAGAGAACCCATACTGTATGATTTGGCTCTAATCCTTTCTGGATAATTCTAATCCTGCCATGCACTAAAAGCGCTGATTCCTAACTGGAAGTAAGTGTTCATTAAACTTTCGAAGTCTGCTCTGCAAATCACACTATCCATAATCTTCGACTGAGATTTAAGTTTATTTCAGCGTAAATAAAGCTGATTTATAAAATTTTCCTTCCTACCTACCTTTCATTTGATCAACTATTTTAGCACATGTTGCTTAAAATCTCAGAAAACTCTTCTATTCTGAGATACTGCATTATCCTATATCAGAATTCAATTATTTGTATAGAAAGTCAGACCTCCTCAACTGACTTATTTAATAATTTATGAGAAAGCTACATATGATATGTCCTATGATAAGTACCAGGAAAACAAAGATGAATAAGACACAGACTGCCCTCAAGAGCTATGAGGACTGCAAACTAATAATTTGAATACAAAAATGAAGGAAGTTTGTGAGAAATATTCGAGGCAAGAAATCAGAATGATAAAAAAAAATACTAGACATTTACCCAACAATTTGATAATGGAAAATACTCAAAAAGCTGAGGGAGAGGGGAGGGACACATAGCGATGGGTTAGGGAAGAAAAAAAAAAGAGAACAGAAAGAACAGAAATGGATACAAAGGAGAAAAAACAGCTTAAGGGAAAATCACAAAGATATTTATTGTACTGAAATGGTACGATGTCAAATGACTATCATGTGTAAAGACAAAATCCAAGACATAGCACATGTGGAAATAGGCTGATGAACTAGACTGATAAAGGAGGGGGAAATCAAAGAATCTAGTTAAAGTGTCAGCTTTGAGAAGAATAAAGTCATTCCCAAAATGGTAGAACAGAGAAAGAAGAGTCAAATGCAAAAGACTTTATTGACTGCATAAATACACTAGAGAAGACAAGCCAAAAGAAACAGCTGACAAGAATTGATGGTAGATAAGTCATTTCTTTTTACTTTATTTTGAAATAATTCCAGCCTTATAAAAAAGTTGCAAATATAATATAAAGAATTCATATAGACTCTTCACTGAGATTCCTCAAATGCTAATGTTTTACCACACTGGCTTTATTTTACTTAAAAAAAAAGCTTTATCTCATGACATATAATTGTCATATAATAAACTACACATGAAGTGTACAAATTAGGTTTATGACCTATGCACGCAACTGCAAAATCATCAATATAATCAAGATGATAAATATATCTATCACCTACAGAAGTCTGTTTTACTCCATTTTAATCTTTCCTTCTAGTCCTCTACAAGGAACCACTGAGATGTTTTCTGTCACTATAGGTTAGTTCATTTTTTATAACATAATATAAATGAATTAAATCATATTTCCTTTTTCCTCTGGCTGTTTTCACCAGCACACTTATTTTGAGATCCATTCCTGTATTTAACCATTGTTGTGATTTTGTTTTGGAGTTTTTGTTACTATAAATAAAATTGTTATGAACAGTATTCATTAGTCTTTTTAGATAAATATATTTGCACTTCTCTTGGGTCAATAACAAGGGACGGAAAGGCTGGATTATTCTGCTGAGTACAGTTAATCTTTGAACACATGGGTCTGAACTTTGCAAGAGCACTTAGACACCGAAGTGGGTTCTGCATTCATGAATTCAATCAAGCAAGGATGTCAAAGGTTGGTCCTGAAACCAATCCCCGACACATACCAATGGATGCTGCAGCTACTTCTTTGGGGATTCAAAAGCTATATATGGATTTTTGATTTGGTGGGGAGGTTGTCAGGGCACCTAACACCCACCTTGTTAAGGGCTAAATGTATTGAACATTTTAAGAAACTTGCAAATGTTTTCTTAGAGGTTATAGCAATTTACAATCCTATCACCAGTGTATGATGGTTCCAGTTGTATCTATTTGTCAACACTTGGTATGCTGTCTTTTATTTTGGCTTCCAATTTGTTAGTATTTACAGATCATTGTAGTTTTAATTAGTATTTTCCTAGTGAATAATGATAGTAAGCATCTTTCCATGGACTTAATTTCCACTAATAATTATCTCTGGCAAAGTATATGTCAAAATATTTTCCCAATTTTTTATTGGGTGGCTTGTTCTATCGTTATTAAATGTTGAAAAACCTTTTTTGAAAACAATTTTTAAGTAAGATAATGTGATTACAAATATGCTCTGCCTCTTAATGACTTGTCTTTTCATTCTCTGAAATTTCTTTTAGAAAAGCAAAGTTCTATTTATGATTAAAACAAACTTACTATATTTCACTTTTCTAAATTGTGTTTTGATGATCTAAATAAAAAATACATTTGTCCTATTCAGTAATTCCCAACTGAGGGTGAGGGGGTGATTTTACTCAATCGTCTCTGTGGATATATGGCAAAGTCTTGAGACACATACCTTATTATTTTCTACCTATCCCTCCCTCCCTCCCTCCCTCTCTCTTTTTCTTTCTCCCTCCTTTCTACCTTTCCTCCCTCCCTCCACATACAATATTTTTCTGAAACATAATGTGTCATATTACATTTTGCCCAATTTCCTTTACTTACTAAAAATTCAACTTAAATTTCTGAG